GATGTTTTCGACCCTCACACAATATATACTGTAGTTCACGCAGTTTTTCCACGAAACTATCGTAGTTAATTCCTTGTAAATACATCAGGAATAATCAACTAATCTGATTTTATCCTCACCTACCATCTCTCACTATACACGCGTTAAAGCGAGATAGAGACCTACAGAATATAAGCTCAAAGCCGATTTTACGAAAGTATAAACAAAATAAATTACTTTTTTTATTTTGAAATGTAATTAGTTTTAAATAAAAGTATTTAGTAAAGGTTCACACTTAACTTTTTGAATTTTGAATTGAATTTGAATGAACCAATGCAGTGTACTATTTTTGAATATAACATAAATTAGTAAAAAATACCCTCAAAATTGCACATTACAGTAACAACAAAAATAAGAATTTCTGCATGTGCACTAAACTGAAATTGAAAATAAAAAAGTGAATTTTTGCTATTCTTGCAACTTCAATTCCCATATAAATGACGACCTGTCACATGCACACATTTACAAAACACGCACACCAACGTAACTGTTTTCTTGTCTCGTTTTTATAATTGCATTGCTAATCTATCAGTACAATATATTACGTCTATGTTTTTTTTACTGGATGATAATGGAATGAAGAACCCGCCTGCGCCATCGGTATACACTGGCGGGGCACCAGTGAGGGATGATTGATGAAGATGAAAAGGCAGGTCAGTTAGCCCATCGTGACGAATTCAACGATAAATTAGTCACGATGATTTCAAGGAGGAACCGCGTGTAGATCGACCCGATAGGGGATTAATCTTCCTATTACTAATAATCCCATCCCCTCTACGTCTATGGTACTCCCAGTGTGGATTTTAGTTTATTTCCAGTGTTAACTATTTCAAGAATGACCCTATTCTGTATCAAAAATACAGATAAAGGCAAGCTTTTAACTCAATAACCCACAAACCATTATGATCGGTATGAACCGTAAAATATCCAATGTATACACTGAGTGTATCTTACGCAATATAATTGATACCACGAACAATGCACGGTATCTGAACATGTCCGAGACATTTAACCTGCAGCTCACTACAAACAAATATTGTTATGTTTCTAAGATTTTACAAGGTACAGAGGAATAATATCTGAGTCCTCAGGAATGGCAACGCATGGGGAGTATCATGGGCGAAACAGTATATTCTGTTATGTCCATGGTACTGCTCATGTGTATAGGCGACGGTTACCACTTTCCATCAGGTGGGCCGTCAGCTTGTTTGCCATCTAAGTTGTATAAAAAAAAATTTGAATATAGATTTTTTTAATGGATGGTAATGAAATAGTGAGCTCGTCTGGGCTATCGATATATACTGGTGAGGCATCAGTCTGTGTCAAAAATCTGTCACTGAAAGATAAATGAATGACGAGTGAATGATGAATGAATTTTAAATAAATTAATTATGAATGAATTTGAATGAACTATAAATGATTTATGAATAATTTATTAATAAATGATGAATGAATTATAAATGAATGATGAACATTTATTTGCACATACAGCCCGATATACGTTGTTAATTCCACAGTGGTTTCATTTGGCAGCGCTGTAGTATGTCTTTTAAATTTAAATTGATAAAATTATCAGAAACTTTTACCTCTTGGCATCTCAGTAGCTCTATACTACTGCTTAGGTACGCAGAATTGGAATGGAAAAGGACATATGCTACTTTCTGTCCCAGGTAGCAAATGATAAATCCCGGGCATATAGACGAAGTCGAGGGCATATCTAGTTTTAGTATACAAAGACCAAGCGTAGATATTAGTGAAAGGAAATCTTTGCCATATTAGGTTTCATTTGAAAGCCGATAGGAAAAAGTACTATTAAAATTCTAGACTGCTCTTGGATTGAATTAGTTATTTCTTCAATTTACATGAAAGTTAAGTAGATTTATATCATAACGGCTTCATGCAATGAGCCTGTACTAAAGATGTGCCTTACTGTACTTATACAATTGTATCGTTATGTTTGTAAATTGTCTTGTTTATTTCCTATATTGTATAATGCAAATAAAGTTTAATCATTCATTCATTCATAAAGATATTTTTTTTATAGGTGATAATGAAATAGTAACCCCACCCGCGCTATCGGTATACGCTGATAGGGCACCAGTGAAGAATGATAGACCTTATGTTATGTTGGTGCAATAAAGTGTTAAATAAATAAATAGACGAGGATGAAACAGGTCAGTTAGCCCATCGTGAGGAATTCAACGAGAATTGTTCACGATGGTTTCCAGGGGGAACCACGCGGAGGTTGACCTGATAGGGCATATTGCTAGCAATGGGGCTGTCAAACTCCATTGCTAACAATCCCTTCCCCCCTGTACTAATGATATTGGCATTGACACTAACTGCTAGTTTGCGTTATTTTTTTATACGTTATGTTTATTGATTGTATCCACTTATTACTATCTTACCTTTTTTAATGGGTGATAATAGATTGGTAACTCCGCCTGCGCTATCGGTATGCGCTGACGGGGCACCAGTGAGGGATGATAGGTGATGATGAAAGCAGGTAAGTCAGCCCATCGTGACGAATTCCACTAGAATTAATCACTATGGTTTCCAGGGGCAGTCGCGTGGAGGTCGATCTGATAGAGTATATTGCTAGCAATAGGTCAGTTTTTTTAATGGGTGATAATGGAATGGTAACTCCTCTCGCGCTATTGGTAAACACTGGCGGGGTACCAGTGAGAGATGATAGATGAGGATGAAGCAGGTCAGTTAGCCCATCGTGACGAATTCAACAGGAATTGTTCATAATGGTTTCCAGGGGGCACCACGTGGAGGTAGACCTAAAAGGGCATATTGCTAGCAATGGGGCTGTCAAACTCCATTGCTAACAATCCCTTTCCCCCAGCAATGGGTCAGTTAGACCCCATTACTAACAATCCCTTTCTCTCACTTCAAATGCAATGCAGGGCGTCAGTGAATGCAAGTGGTTAAAGATCGTTCCTTATGGCAGTCTATGGAGGAGGCCTATGTCCAGCAGTGGACGGATAATGGCTGAAATAATGATGTAAATGAAATATAGTCTCTACCAATTGAGGGGTTTCGCCAGTAGTTGCTTCGCTTGTAAGGCGGATTAGTAACAGCAGTTAGGCTTTGGTGGTGTGTGTTACACACGGAATTATTAAAATATGAGAACTAAATTTCAATTTATAGATACATAGTTATCATATATATATATATATATTTACATATATGTATATGTAAAAATAACATTTTATATATGTGTGTATTTTGAACGTAAGTATATAAGTTAGTTTGTATTTAGACAAGTATATTTATTATTTCTTAATACAAACAACCATACAATTTCCTCTTCTTATTGTACGCACACTACCCGCTGGTAAATAATGCTCCTTTCCACTCAGGGTTTGTTGGAAGAGAACTCTTACAGAGTTAAGCTCGCCTGTTGTATATTTCTATTTAAAATAAATTCAAACAAAGTAATTTTTGAGTACAATAAAGTATAAATAATATTATAACAATAATATAGATTTTAATTAAATGAAAAAATAAAACATTTTACGTACATTTTATTATCAAATACACCAAACTTACCATTACAATAATAAATGACAACTGTATAATGAGATCGCTAAATATTAATCTAATAATTACTCTATTATTTAACAAAAATTGCTAAAACGGTTTTTTCCAACATCTCTTTATGTCCCACTCGTGGGCATGGAGCTTAAGAGAAGGACAAGCATAGTAAGAAACAAGAAGAAGATACAGGCTCCTTGCAGGTCCGGCGGCTAGGTATAATGTGTCATTTCAAATTTTACTTCTATTGGTTTATTGGATTTTGCTTCCTTACTTATACTATTGTTAAAAATAAATGATGACATTCCTACTTTGTTATCCCACGAATTTATGTTTTAAAATCTTATAAGTATTTACATTGTATTATTACTCACCAGAGGGAGACTTTGTACAAAAGTCGTTTGCTTGGACACCTCTGTCTCATTCGTGTTTCTACTGTGAAGCAGTTGTGTTTGCATGACTGTCTTTTGGTTCGAGTCAGTGGATGCAAGTGGCTCAGGATGTCCAGAAGTGGACGGATAAAGGGTAAAATAATGAGGATGATGTTGAATACAAAAACTTCGTCTATCACACGACCAAAGTCCGGGTAAAAGACTAGTTTGAGAAATAACATTTGAAACCTAATAATAGCCACGTCATACGCAAATACGGACAAGACTAAAACTTAGCAAAGTACTAAAAGATTTTAATTTTTAATGCTCGTGAGTGCAGGCGACTTTGAAACCGATTCGTGGCTCTAAAATAAACTGCACCGAGTCGAAACCGTCAACTGAATGGAAATAGAAAACATTGGTATCGACTGGATGCTACTAACAGGATGCTATCTCGACGTTAGGTATTAGCATATTGGTATAGGTACAGGTTTTTCTTTTTATATAAATTTCTACGGATATCACATTGATTAAAAAAAAATTACTGATATGTCTTTCTTATATCCAAGATAGAATTGGTTAAAAAACTATTATTTTTATTGGATATGAATAATTACTTAAATGATTAAGATTTTTTTTATTTAGAAGAAACAAAAGTTGGACCACCTTATACGACATGATGATTCTTTAAGGAGAAAGTAAAGTAGAGGGCAAAGGAGGAAGGGGAAGACCCACGAATAACTACAGGGGACAAATAAAGGAAACACTAGGCGTCATGTCGTATAGGGAGATCAAAGATATGGCCTGGAATAGAGCTGGCTGGAAGAGAATGTATGAATTAGTTGCACCGACAAGAGGAAACTCTTAAATGAAAAGAGAAAATATATATATATATATATATATATATATATATATATATATATATATATATATATATATATATATATATATATATATATATATATATATATATATATATATATATATATATATATATATATATATATATATATATATTATACAACTTAGAACGGCAGACAAGCTGACGGTCCACCTGATGGAAAGTGGTAACCGTCGCCTATAGACATGAGCAGTACCATGAACATAACAGAGTATGCTGTTTCACCCATGATACCCCCCATGCGTTGCCATTCCTGAGGACTCAGGTGTTATTCAGGACTTAGATGTTATTCCTCTGTACCTTGTAAATTCACGCCATATCCCACCCTTCAAATCGAAACGCAGCCATGCAAACACAGCTGCTTCACAAATGCAGCAGAATGACAGCGTCGGCGACACTTTACAAAATAGGCATGTAGATAGATTTATAGATAAATATATAATTTATTTGCATTACATAGACCACAAAATTAAGAACAGACATAGATTTATGTTGCGATGTTGTATTGAGACGACGAGGTCTGCTGAAATGTATATTTCCAATAGCTCGGTTATAACTGACAAAATTAAGAAATAAAAACTATCTTATGTACTAAATACAAATATAGGACATACAAAACTGGTGGGGCGATATATTGACCTAGTGCGTGCAGTGCTAAATTAACAATTATTAAATTTCTTAGTAAACCAACAACTTTATTGCACTGCACGCATGAACATAGATATGGCTTTATAGTACACAATAAAAAAAAAAAAGAGATAAAATAATATATATACCAAAAAAAGGAAAATAAAAGATGTAACACAATTTTTCTATTTGTGCGTAACCGACTTTTACTTGGATTGCCCGCGAAGCAGATTGTGTTCCGCAGAATGCACGTACGAGTATATCCGATAAAGTTATTAAAGAACTGTCTTTTTATTCGAGTAATATCGTCAAATTCATAATTTTATATTTTCTTTATTGCACTTGAACAATATATACAGCGATTAGTTTAACAACTTGTTAGCAAGAGAGGGCTTATCTCTAAAAGAGATCTCTTCCAGCCAACCCAGTGTAGTCAGAAAATAATTGATTTGCGGGTAATCTAGTGCAGGAACAGTACAGGTACATTTTTCTTTCACATTATATACATATTTAGTTGCAATACGCTAAATGGCATACAATACTATTTTCATTTCTCGATTCTGTGCATTATTATATTATTTATTAAATAAAATAAGTGTATCTCACAGTCAAAGTTATCGCAGTGCACTCAGATCCACTGAATATTTAATTATTTATTCTGCATTAGCCTTTGGAAACTCCGCGCTCGGCACTTCGTATTTCTAAAACTATTCTAGACCTATATTATTCTCGGTGGCAATAAAAGAACTGTATTCATGAGGTGTTCTGTGTTACAATAACATTTAAATATAAGTTCCACCGCCGTCGAGCACTGTAGCAGTTGCACGTTTTTATTACATTTTATATTAACATGGCCGGATCTATTATAAATCATGCATATAAATTAGGGGCGAGTAATATCTAGCAATACCTGTATATTTTAGTTACAATATCTATGTATTGGTCCTATAATGAATATGGCAAAGTCTGTTGTCCAAAAAATAATATTGGATAGCGGACTTTTAACATATTCGAAAATATCGTTGATATCCGACCAATGTGAACGATATTGAGTTGGCTGATGACCTTCATTCCTCCATCAGAGTACAGAGAAACCCAATATATAGATATCAGATCGGTATCCATATTAGATGTGCTTAATATAAATGACTTTGCACATATGTATAACTTAATGATTCTGCTTTGATGGTTGCCCTTAAATAAATAAATAAAATTATCTTCATAAAATAAAACATGAACTTAAATCAAATTCGAACATTCTTTCAGCTTTTCAAAGGTTGACTGTAAGAGAGCTCGCTACGGGATAAGTTCCCCATTGTATAATTAAACCTTCTTAATGTATCCAATGTAAAGTAAGTATAATAAAGATTCTACAATACATTACATTAAAGTCTGATTAATTTTCATATTACAAATTATTGAAAGATAAAATTATATACAATTTTGGTGATATTAATATGTATACTTATAATAAATCTATAGAGAGGTCTATTCTGTACATGAAATATATTTCCAAAATAACTATCAGGCGGTGATTAGTGATCGATACTGATGCCAAAAATGCAATCAGTAAAATTTTTGTCTGTCTGTCTGTATATTCGTTATAGAAACAAAAACTACTCGACAGATTTTAACAAAACTTGGTACAATTATTCTTCATACTGCTAGGTAGGTTATAGTATACTTTTCATCACGCTATGATCAATAGGAGCAGAGCAGTGAAGGGAAATGTTAAAAATGTTCACCCGTGCGATGCCGGGATGGGCCGCTAGTTATATTAAAAATTTAAAAGTTAATTTCTTGATCGTTACTTTTTGGTGCTTTATTTACCAAAACCATTATATTTGAGATAAAGAAGGATAGACTACTCTTTCAATCCCGCTCACACCGTCAAAGTTGAGGTCACTGATAAAATCTGACCACTGATTAGGTAAAATATATAAAAAATACTTAAGACTTAAGACATGGTACTGCTCATGTCTATATGCGACGGCCACTTTCCATCAGGTGGGCCGTCAGCTTGTTTGCCATTCTAAGTTGTATAAAAACAAAATGTCAAGCTGACAATGTAAATAAAACCTTGATGTGAAATTATAATTATCCAAACATATGTGTAGTAGAAAAAAAAAACAATTTTCTCGCTCTCTTTCTCCCTCTCTCTCATTCTCTCTCTCTCTCTCGCTCTCTATCTCTTTCTCTTTTTTCTAATTATATATATAATGATAATATCCAAATATATATTAATACGTAATAGTACTTTCTAAACACTATGGATATATCCTGTCCCTCTGACGATATGTCTTTCTGAGAAGGGATGGGGCCTTCTCAGAAATGACCAGTCGAAAACAGAATGAACTTCCTCTATCTATGTAATAGTGATACCTAGGTCAAGACATTCTTTATATAAATCTACCCGAAATGCGATATCATTTCAAACGACAATAAGATACGAAAATAAAGTATACTCTGCGTACAGATTCAAAGTAAATATTTATTAAAAAAATTTTATACAACTCAGAATGGCAATCAAGCTGACGGTCCACCTGATGAAAAGTGGTAACCGTCGCCTATAGACATGAGCAGTACCATGGACATAACAGAGTATACTGATTCCCTCATGATACCCTCCATGCGTTGCCATTCCTGTGGACTCAGGTGTTATTAATCAGATGTTATCCCTCTGTACCCAGCAAATTCACGCCATGTCCCACCCTTCAAACCGAAACACAGCCATGCAAACGCAGCTGCTTCACGGTTGAAACACGAATGGGACAGAGGTACCCAAGCAATCGACTTTTGCACAAAACCTCAATAAAGCAATATCTAATTATTGTGAATATTTTACTGAAGTAGGTGTTATCTTGCGTAAAACTACTATTGTTATTACCAGAACTTGTATAACTTTCCATATTAGCTATCAATCTCCGATTATCATTCAGTCAGTATGCATATTGGTCCAATAGCAAATATATTTAATATTGGTTTCATAAATACTGTGAAAAACTACAAAATCTGTAATAATACATCTTTATATTTCTCATTCACCGTGTAGCCCACGCATGGAATAGGCCACTTCCCTCTTTTCCCGTGGGTGTCGTAGGAGGCGACTAAGGAAGCTTATGATGGAGTGTTAGGCAGCAGCCTCTTAAAACATCTTCAAAGCCTAACTGCGGTTGCCAATCCGCCTGCCAAGGGTGGCAACTATTGGCAACTTCCCCCCTCCCCATCCCGAAAAGGTTTATGTTCAGCAGTGGACAGTTAAAGGCTAATATAATAATGATATTTTTCATTCAACTGCACACATATCTATGGAGTCCCTAACATCTGAGGCAAATATAAAAAACCCATGTTTCAAGGATCAGTTTCGCCTTCCAGATCCGAATGCGAGTTTGCGACATTACCAGTCTTTTATTTTTTTTTTTTCTTTCAGACGCAGAATACACTAAATGTAACCGTTTTAGCAATTTTTGTTGTGACTTGACACAAACGAAGGCACTAGTCGACTGTGATGAGCCCGCACTCGCGAACAACTTGCTCCGTCGACACGGGATTTAGGAACACTGAAAAGTAAACAATATAAATTAAAATACACTGTAGTAATCAGGGTCAAACTTTCATGTGCAAGTCGTCGTGCTTGAACATGTCTTGTCATTTTCCTCCGCGAAGATCTATTTACATGGTTATATTTCGGTTTGAATAATGAGATATTGAACTATAATTACAAGAGACTTAACACCTTACTTTTGTTTGCAATTTAGAATGAAGCTGACAGAATCGACAGATGGAAAGTGGCAATCGTCGCCTATAGACGTGAACTATTCATGGACCATGGCTATAAAAGGGGTATGCTGTATCGTCCATGATACCCATAATACATATACATGCTAGCAGAGGGAGACTTTTTACAAAAGTCGTTTGCTTGTGTACCGCTATCCCATTCGTGTTTCTACCGTAAAGCAGTTGTGTTTCGGTTTGAAGGGTGGGATACGGCAGTGAATTTACAAGGTACAGAGGAATAACATCTGAGTCCTCAGGAGTGGCAACGCATGGGGGGTATCATGGGCAAAACAGTGTACTCTGTTATATCCATAGTACTATTCATGTCTATAGGCAACGGATACCACTTTCCATCAGGTGGGCCCTCATTTTGTTTGCCATTCTAAGTTGCATAAAAAAACCCTTCATATGTTGCTGTTCTTGAGGACTAAGATATTAAGCATTTGTACCCTGTAATTTTAATACCATATGCTACTTTTAAAACCGAGACACAGCCATGCAAACAACTGTTTCACGGCAGAAACGCGAATAGGACAGAAATACTCAAGCAGCGACTTTTATACAAAGCCTACATGTGACAAAACGCTTAATTCTCGGTAATAGAATTTAAATGACCATTGTAACGTAGTAGTAATATAACATGCCAGTACTCGTTTAGATCTACAAGAAATGTCGTAAGAGGTACGAGAATAAGACAATGAAATAGTGCAGAAGAAAGAAATTCGATGTTTTTACTTGATTTTTATTCATGTTTTAACTTAATTTTTATTCATGTACGAGCAAACTGCTCTTGTAAATAACAGTTTAACATAACTATATGTATGTTAAACTGTTATATTATACAATTTCATTTTACCAGTTATGGTTGAAAATACGATGGTTATATTATTATTACCTACTATTACCTACACGTTTTCAGAAACCAGTCTCAGATGAAAAACCTAGACGACTCTTTATTTTGAAATTTTAAATTTATGCAAAAAGGTTTCAGGCTATTATTTTTAAATAATACTTTTTTCATCACATTTTGATCTAATGTAGTTCATATTTAGATTAAGTAAAATGATTTTTTACGACGACTGACTGACATTGCTATCTCTTTCTATCTCCTGAACTCAGCAGTGACAACAATTCTATTGATTAGGTACATTTGCCACTTATATATAGCAAGGAAAAATATGTTTTTTGAAACAGGATATCTACCATGAAAAGAAATTCCAATTTTTAAATACAATTTCGTGTTTTTGTTCATACCGTAATCGATGCAGTAGACTGAGCTAGTAGAAAAGAGTGATATTTTAATATTTTTCATCCAATTTGGGTTTCGTCCCCAAAAATTCGGGAAACATTTCGTGGTAGACCCTCAGAATCTAGATGAAGACCTATAGATGCTCTAATGTTTGTGATTCTATAGATTCTATCCATCACAATGAGAGAGAGAGAGACATGGCGTATAATTCTCTTATACAATGTTAATATTATTTATACGTTCACACCACCGCTAATCAAATACAGCAGGCTCTAATGGGACAATACTAGTGAATTACCGAGTACAAAAGGAGTCCCGATTTGAAGCTATTGTTTTGTTTTCACAACGCTAAACCTTTTGTCTGTATTCATTCTTATAGGGTGTAAATAGGTTTCACTCGAGCACGTTAAGATTAAAGGATATAGTACGTACTATCTGATTTAGACTTAGTTTTAGATTTCTATGTACACTAGTTTTTTTAAATGGATGAGATTTTTTTTATGCAACTTAGAGTGGCAAACAAGTTGACCGCCCACCTGATGGGAAGTGGTAACCGTCGCCTATAGACATGAGCAGTACCATGGACATAACAGAATGTACTATTTCGCCCATGATACCCCCCATGCGTTGCCATTCCTGAGGACTCAGGTATTATTCCTCTGTACTCTGCAAATTCACGCCATATCCCACCCTTCAAACTGAAACACAGCCATGCAAACAAAACTGCTTCACGGTAGAAACACGAATGGGACAGAGGTACTCAAGCAATCGACTTTTGTACAAAGTCTCCCTCTGGTTTCTGCGCTGTCAATATATGCTTGTGGGACAGCAATGAGAGATGATAGATGAGAATAAAAGCAGATTAGTTAGCCAATTATTACAATTTTCATAAAAAATAACCACAATTGTTTGGGCGAAAGGGATTGTTAGTAATGGACACTGAGAATCCCATTGTTAGCAATATATCTAACCAGGTCGACCTCCTCGTGGTTCCCTCTTGAAACTATCATGGTTAATTCCTGATGAATTCATCATGATGGGCTAACTGGCCTGTTTTCATTCTCATCTATCACCCTTCACTGGTGCTCGGCCAGCGTATCCCGTTAGCGCGGGCGGGGTTACCATTTTCACCTATAAAAAAAAAACAATTGTTTCCAGGGGAAACCGCGTGGAGGTCGACTTGATAAGATATATAACACTAGTAATAGGACAGTTAGATCCCATTACCGACAGTTCCTTCACCCATAAATGCACTAGTAGTGAAACCGTCATGCACAGTTCCAAGCGGATATCACAATGGAGTATCTGATCTGCCTTTTCATTATCACCTATCATCCCTCACTGGTGCCCGCCAGCAGATACCGTCAACAAAAGCAGGGTTACTATTCCAGTATCATCTATTAAATAAAGCACTCTCTGATTTCTTACTTCTAAGTGACCTTTGTTGAGTACCAAGACCTCTGATATAACTTACCAAACGAACAAATCGTCATAGTCGTAGAATACTGACGGATCTGACAAATATTACATATAAAGATCCGTCAGTATTCTACGACTACGACGAAATGAGAACTACTTTGAAATCAACTAAAAACATTTTTACTAGCTTTCTGCCCGTTACTTAGACTTAGACCTTCAATAATACAACTGTGAAAATTGCATCAAATTTAGTTCAACATTAATTGTGTAAGGTCGGAGCAAACATACAGACAGACTGACAGACAAAATTTCTACAAATTGTAATGGATAGATAGATAGGTAATTTATTTACATTAATTACAGTACACAAATTACAATAAAAAAAAACATACACATAATAGATAGATAGATAATTTATTTGCATCACTTACAGCACACAAACAGCAAAAGATACAAAAGCAAAGTTAAAAAAAAATACACAGTAAAAGAGATAAAAGAATGAAAATAAAAAAAAAGCAACAACTATTAGTCTAATTAAGGTCCCTGATATTATTTTTTTCTAAGTGATTAAAGTACAAAAGTCGTCTAGATACAATTATATTATATTAAGTAAAATGAATGAGAGAGCTATAAACAATCGGGATATAAAAATTAGAAATTTCTTATATTATTGCAATAAAATATAAGTCAATACATACGTGTACCACCAGAGAACAAATCTTGATCGGTTATGATGCTAGCGGCTGCAATGGCTGCTTCATCTAGAACTATGACCTAAAAAAAAAACAAAATACAACCGATCTGAGAACTGGCTTCTTTTTAAGTCTATTGAAAACAGATAAAAATTTTCTTTCTCAATCAAATCATTGGTTCACTTATATGGTTGTTCTATCTACAATGATATTAAATCTACCCTCAAAAAAATAATAAATAAATTTTTGGTATACAAATTGGGAATCTATAATTGGCTAATGTATAGTGTAAATATATTTTAATTATTAATATAAGTTGTTGATTCCAGATCATCATCATCGTCTTCCTACTCTTAGAATCAACATTCTAGATAATATAACAATAAAATAAAGATTCATTAATTTCACCGCTGTTTTGTTTATTATTTAATTTGTTTATTACATGCAATATATATATATATATATATATATATATATATATATATATATTTAATACATTCATATTAGTCGTTAACTGCCCTGTTCCAATATAGGCCTCCCTATATTGGAAGGATTTGCTAGTAATCGCCATGCTTGGCAAGCAGGTTGGCAACCGCAGTTAGGCTTTGATGAATTTTAAAGAGGGACGCTACTAACTTCGTTCATTACACTTAATATTTCCGTAATTTCCAGAGCAAATATTGAAATATTACCGTGTGGTCCCAGCATAGAATGGGCACCCTTTCATTTTCTGGGGGAAAGAGATGGTCAGCATGAGATTTAACAAGCTCATTACTGACAATGTACCCTAACAGTTCGACCTCCACGTGGTTCCCCCTGAAAATCATCTAGGTTAATTTAAGATGAATTCATTACGATGGGCAAACTGATCTGCTTCATCCTCATCTGTCACCCCTCACTGGTGCCCCGTCAGTGTATACCGATAGCGCTGGCAGGCTTACCATTCCATTTTCATCCATTGACCAACCCCTTCATTTCCCGTGGGTATCGTAATTTAATAGTCGAGGGATAGGCATCAGCGTTCCACTTTAAATATCATCAAAATCCTAATTACGGTTGCCAACCCGCTTGCCAAGCGTGGCAACTATTGGAAAAACCCCCTTAATGAAGGAGTCCCATATTCAGCAGTGGACAGTTAACAGCTTATTTGATAACGATAACTATTTGCAATATCCAAATAGATATTTGACACATTGTGATGAGTTAAAGTAATATATATATTTTTTTAATGGGTGACAATGGTATGGTAACCCCGTCTGCGCTATTGGTATACACTGGCGGGGCACCAGCGAGGGATGACAGATGAAGATGAAAGTAGGTCAGTTAGCCCATCCTGACGAATTAAACTAGAATTAGTCACGATGGTCTCCAGGGGGAACCACGTGGAGGTCGACCTGACAGGGTATATTGCTAGTAATAGGGCTATTTGACCCTATTACTAACAATCCCTTTCCCTCCAGTATTATATATTACCTTTGGGCACGTCATCACCGCCTCATGCATCGGCGGCAGCGTCACCTTCGTCCGATCCTCATCTGGTTGATTTCTCAACGGCAGTAAATCTATAGCGTTGGCTGCTAAGGACCACAGGTGACCAGCGCCCTGCGGTGCCCTGGCGCCTTTACGGAAATGCGGGTTAATTGATAAATTATGTCGCACTGAATTCTTCCAGCGTTCATCGTTCGCTTTGTAGTATGGAAAACGATCTCTGAAACAAACAAATTGTATGTACTTTATAAATTTTCTGTGTGCAAGTATGTAATTAAAAAAAAATAAGTATGTCTCTCTATAGTTACGCAAGCTCTGATTTAGAACTATATGGTGTTGCGTGACATATATTTTACATTTGTCACCCTTCACTGGTGCCAAATGTAAAATATATGTCCGGAGGGAGACTTTGTACAAAAGTCGATTGCTTGGGTACCTCTGTCCCATTCGTGTTTCAATCGTAAAGCAGTTGTGTTTGCATGGCTGTGTTTCGGTTTGAAGGGTGGGATATGGCGTGAATTTACTGGGTTCGGAGGAATAACACCTGAGTGCTCAGGAATGGCAACGCATGGGGGGTATCATGGGCGAAACAGTATATTCTGTTATGTCCATGGTACTGCTCATGTCTATAGGCGACGGTTACCACTTCTCATTAGGTGAGCCGTCAGCTTGTTTGCCGTTCTAATTTGTATAAAAAAAAATTACACAATAGGTACATATAGTACAAATAGCTAACTTAATGCCATATGGCATTCTTTACCCTTTAACCCCTTATTTTCCAAAGTGGTCTAGATGGACCCCTGAGATCCAAAGGAGACAGAGGTCTACGTTGGCGTGACAAAAAAATGGTAAGCGGGGTCCACAAAAATATAACATTAAGATAGTAATAATAATCAATAGTGAAATAATTACATATATGAATAAATACAACATAAAAAATAAAATATTTTTACCACTCGGAATTTCGAATTAAACAAGTGAGAATTGATTGGTTTATATTAAATTTGTCAAAAAAAAAAACTTAAGCTGTATGGAATCACTTTTTTAAAAGACCAACTTTACTTTTTTGATATCCACTCACAGAACAATCAATTAGTTATTAAACCAATCAATTTGTACTTTTTTATTCGAAAACTATTTTGTTATTCGAAAACTATTAATTCGTGGTTGAAACTTAGCCGCAACGCAAACTTCCACAGTTACCGCAAACCTTCACATTTATTGTTGAGTTTTGGGAATATATTAGAAATGTAGCTGCAGGGTATCCACCGGAACAAGCTAAATTTTGAAAGTGATTTATAAGAAAAAAAGCCTGAGAACCTCTGCTCTAACCATCAAAATGGAAAGCGAATGAAGGCAGTAGTGGCGTACAGACAAAAAACGCACCTAACTAGTTGTATCTAAGCTTTTAGCAACCCCAGACATATTTGTTAATCTGAGAATGTGTAATTGTATTATTAGTGTGGGGCACTTGTTTAATATAAAAAAAAAAACCTTTTCCCACACACCGAAGTTATTTATTTAATATTTTCTTTACACAGTTAATAGTACACTTTCACTAATTTGAAGGTTCACTTTGACTCGAGACGTGCGAGACCCTTGGTTCAGGGTTTTACTGAGCCTGGATGAAACTAACTAGTTAGCGTTACTGGCCATACAGGCGGGAAGAAACCAGGTACGTAGCTGGGCAGTAATTTGGCTAGCTAAATTAGGACTGTTGATTTAGTTCCTATGTGTTTATACAGGTATAATGCTGGTGATTTAAATGGAAATAAATTATATTGCTCTATCTATTTAAGAGCTGCGCTCTTGTCGGTGGAGCTCTTACCACTCACTACGATTTTCAGCGAGTCTCTTCACCTCTTGATACAACACGACACCAACTCCTTCCTTGATCTGCCTGATGTAACTATATCTCGATCTCCATCTCCCCCTCTTTCCCTCTATTATAATGTTCATAAGTTCGTCGTGTCGTATCAAGTGTCCCAACATTTTTCCCCTTTTGTCCTCAATAGTTCTAATAATTTGTCTTTTTTCCTTAACCCTAAGCAGGACTTCCTCATTGCTAATTCGATCCCTCCAGCTAATTTTCTCCATCCTTCTCCAGCACCACATTTCAAAGGCTCCAAGTGTATCCATTTCCTTCCGAGTTAATGTCCACGTCTCACATCCATACAGTATTGCTAGTCAGTAAAAATATGTCTATATGCTAGAATTGTAACAGTATCTTTTCATCGATCTGCAACTTTGACGCAGCGAATATAAGAGAAAAATTAAGAAAAAATATAAACGGAAAAGAATGAAATGATCAGGAAATAAAAAATAAAAATTAGTGGAATATACATAGAAAAAGAAATTGAATTAGTATTCGTAGTCAGAATTACTAAAAGCCCAAGTACAATATAAAGTTACCTATTTCGGTTGAAGCGTAGGCTGCAAAATTAGACCCTAATAAATATCTCTTAGTCAATTACTCATCTAAATAAATCGAGCCCTATATCCAAAGGGTTGCTTTGTTTTCCATAGTAGGAACAGCTTCATAATATATTAATACAATAGCTACCTATCAATGTCTTTAAAATTAATCAATTGAAAGCAAACGATAATATATTAAAATAAATTCTAAAAATTAATGTAATATATTACATTTAAATCATTATTTAAACAAATCTTAATATGTATAATTTTTAATACCTTTTTTAATAATAATAATAGTATTTATTAATATAAAAAAGATATGTAACAATTATACATTTATTTACAAGACTTCACACTAGGATTCCCTGTGTCGTGAAGTCATGGGCCCTTTTCTGCTTACAAATTTTAGTAACTAATTTATGAATTTTAGCCATATAATTTATTCAGACATATATATATATATATATATATATATATATATATATATATATATATATATATATATATATATATATATATATATATATATATATACTCATATCTTTAAATTAAATAATATATTATTAAATAAAGTCAATGTAAAATATAAAATAAAAGAGAAATAAAACAAAGTACATTTTACACAGAGAAGAATAATATGATTATTGGTTTATAAATCTACAAAAACTGTCACTTAAAGAATTTTACCATTAAATATTTATGTATTGACCCCAATTTATCTATCGACAACGTCAGTCGTAATTTTCACGCTTCACCTACGTTATCATCAAATATTTTACTGATCACACAAATCAGATTTTTGTTAGAGCCTATAAAAAATAAGAAAGAAAGAGAAATAAATTATTTCTTGGATACATTCTTACATACATACTTAATATGATTACATTACATAAGAAGTTTATTTATTATTTATTTTAACTTAATTATTTAATTGCTTAATACTTTTCATATATAAGCCGAAATTAAATTTTAATATAGCAAGCTTATTTGGTTTGTGTTAAAAGTACATATACAAAACGTAATACAACTTTTTTTTACAAATACATCTAGATAATTCATCATAAATTGGATATATATATCCTACTTTTATAAATGCAATATTTTAGTAATAACAGTATAATTTAAAATTATTTTTCCTCCATTGCAGTTAATCTAGACAATGAATGCAGGCTCAATTCAAAAGAGCAAAGTTTTGCAATCATATTCTTTTTACAATCTATTTTCTAATTTAGCTGGCATGTTACAACTGCTGCATTTCAACAAGCTTCAGACGAAAAATAAAGCAAGAATTAAAAAGATCGCTGTGAAACCTAAAAACGTGAACTGGATTAGAAAACTGCTAACAATAGTCTGCTAATTACTGAACTTTCTCCTTTTATTGTTTTTCCAGCTACGAATAGCTCTCTGTAAAGCCTTTCTGTTGTCAGTCTTTGCTTCTTTGTGTATAAACTTTGTGTATTTAAGCCTCTGTTTGAGCTAGTACTTTACATGTGCATATTGATATATAAAATTTTTGTTTTCAAAATACCTTCTCGCCATAAGACAGTTCAGTCTTTATGGCATTCATATAATTTAGCATGAAAAAGAACATACACTTTGGTCCTAGTTACATAAACAAATTTGTAAGTATAGATAATCTTTAGTAAAGCAATAATACGTTCAATTAGTTAAGTTACGTAAAATTAATAACAATGAAATAAATCTATGAAAGACTACAAGCTACTTTTATATAAATTAATTCAATTTTCACAAACAATGACGAGCACCAACATACTCAGAGATACTTATTATATATTTATAATTTGATAGGTCTTATTTTTAATCTAGTACAGTATACATTATATTAAAAAATATTGTTACTTGCGAGTATTAAATTCCTAAACATCTAGCCATCATGGAATAAACCAGAACTTTGTACCTGACTATAATGAGGATAGCCTAAAACTCCAAATACTATTTATTAATAAATAAGAAAAACAAATAGCTCTTTTTATAATACAATACAGATAATACATAATTTTTTACACATAGATCAATATAGTTTTCACAAGAGAAATAACGAACACAAAATTTAAAAGTAATTTTGTGTTATTAAGTAAATCAAATATATAGTCAAGAGATATGTAATGATACCTATAAGATAGGCACAAAGTAGACGTTAGTAAGGTGTTACATACAAAAACGATTATATTTAGTATTCCAATCGTATATTATACTAAAGGTCCCAAAACGCGTCCTTGCGGTACTCCCAACAATAATATTTACGAAGATGTTGTGCCATACCCTTTTTCGGTAGCTAGGGCAAGCGTCCCGTCGCCGAGTGGCACGGGTGATCGATTGTGCGTCCGACCGCGACCAAACAGCACGAGACTTGCGATCACGCCCCCTAATTTGAGTGATTATCAAAACATCCTGTGTCAAATGCTTTCGATAAAGCGATCGTGGGGCGTTTAGCTTTTACACCTGTTGGCACCTGATGTAAAAGATTGAATGGCGGTGTTATGTTTGGTGTAAATTTAATTAAAAAAAAGTCGAAACGGCCTATGAATAGTTTCATTACCAGAATATTGTAAGAGGCTGCTAAGGGAACTAAACAAAATAATGCAAGAGAAGGCAAACCCAAAATTCTATACCAAGCCGCCTGAATACTGTAAAATAATAGAAACAATATTAGTTTGATTACTATCGAATAATAAAGATTTACTTCCAGCTATATTTTTCAAGACTTAAGTTGATTCTTTGAGAAAATAATTGGAAAATCGATCAAACAACTCTTTCCGTAGACAAGTTTTTAACTAGTTTATCAATAGACACGTTTTCGATATCACACACGAAACTCTCTCTCTCTCGCACGTATGAAAAAAAACAGAAGAAAATTGTTGTCTCGTTCTACAAGTGTTACATGCACACATACTGCCATAATCAAAACTTTAACTAAAGGTGCAACAGTGTATAACAGTTGTAATGAATTAATAACAGTAGTTCAATATTTACTGAACGATAAGCCCCCGAATCCAGTAGGTACACGGAGTGGTGCCGGCGAACATGATCTATGATAACGTAATCTGTTTACAGAGTTACCTTATTACGAGGTGGATTCCCCACTTGACCAGATAGTTCTGATAATGAATTTTACCTGTTGTGATTAGATTATGAGTATTAGTTTTGACTAGCGTGTGCTGTGACTTTGTTCGAGTTTGTTATAATTCAATTTTTTATTTTTAAATTATCATAAAGCATAGCCTCGCCTTAATCATCATTATCGTCATCATTTCAATCATTATCCGTCCACTGCTGAACATAAGCCTCCCCCATAGACTACCATACTTTATAATGGTCCTGAGCCACCTGGATACACTGATTCCCTGCAATACATTTTAGGTCATTACTACATACAGTTTTTTTTTTAAATAAAAATCATATCTTACTATCTTAATTCTCATTATTATAATAAAACTAGCTGACTCGGCAAACGTTGTTTCACCATATACGTTATTTTGAGAATTATACATGAAAATTTATCGTAAAAGCGTGAAAATTTGAATTTGTATGTATTTTTCAATGCTAAATCATAATAAAATAAAAATAAAAAAAAATTGTCAAAAAAATAAAAATACATATTTAGGGTTAGGTCACCCTTATTATTGAAGGTATGAAAAATAGATGTTGGCCGATTCTCAGACCTACCCAATATGCACACAAAATTTCATAAATATCGGTAAAGGCGTCTAGGAGGAGTTTGGTAACAAACATCGCGACACGAGAATTGTATATATTAGATTGTAACTAGCCTAGTACACGAGAGAAATTAAAGGAAAAAATATATCAGCAACTTAATAAGAGGAACAATCAGAGCTAAAACAGACATTTTTATAATTTTATCTGTCTGTCTTTCTGTCTGTATATTTGTTCCGGCATCACGCAATAACTACTGCACCAAATTGAATGCGGTTTTCACAATTGTATTTTCAAAGATCTAATTTAAAATCTTATGTACATTTTGTCTTGATACAATTTTTTTTAATGGGTGATAATGGAATGGTAACCCCACCCGCGCTATCGGTATACACCGGCGGGGCTCCAGTGAAGGATGATAGGTGAGTATGAAGCAGGTCAGTTAGCCCATCGTGCCGAATTCAACAAGAGTTGTTCACGATGGTTTCCAGGGGAAATCACGTGGAGGTTGCCTTAATAGGCCATTGCTAGCAATGGGCTGTCAAACTCCATTGCTAACAATCCCTTTCCCCCTCTTTAGAAATGATTATCCACATTCAAATTCCACGCGAAATTACGAACACAAGCATTAGCTTGTGTTCATAATTTCGCAATTTCGTAAGATATTAATCTTATATATCTAAAATACTCTCCAATTATCTTTCCCCTCTCACCGTACTGGTTACGCTTCAAACTCTTTTCTCCTACATTCTTCACGACTCTGGAACGCGCTTCCTGATGCCATTAAGAGACTACCGACTAAACCATCTTTCAAAAAAAGCGTTAACGCACACTTTTTATTTTTATCCGAGCAGTAAAAACTTTATATTATTCTCAATTTCGTGTATAATATAGTGTGTATATGTGTAAGTATATTTGTTATTTATATATATTTATTCGTTTATATATTTAATTTTAGTATGTATGTATATCAATAATTAGTAGTACCGCATTCGAGTATTCTGACACTTCCCTAATTGACTGGGAGAGAATGCTTTTAATTAAGTCCGCTTTACACATATTTATACTAATGAATAAATAAATAATAATAAATAAAATATCACATAGGAATGTCAAATCTTAATATGTTACTTATACAAGATATTAGGGTTACCACTCGAAAGAAGGCGCCCATCTTTTGTATTCACAAAATTAACTTTCAGTACTCGGCAATTGTGTGTTTGGGAACAAAGCAACAACCCTATTTTAGAAATGACACTAAAGTAACAAAGTCGATTTCCCTTTGTACGCATAATTTGATATGAATGCTAAATATGCTTTTTGTTATTTGTATTCTATTGTTATTAAATTGCACATATAATGTTTGAATGTCCTGCTTTAATAATTAAGTATTATTTATTTATTTATTTTACACTTTATTGCACCAAGTAAAAAAAATATATATATATATATATATATATATATATATATATATATATATATATATATATATATATATATATATATATATATATATATATATATATATATATATATATATATATATATATATATATATATATATATAAACAGAAGAGAATGATGAAGGGAAATTAAGGGAGAACAAAGGAAAATAGTACTAAAGGGAGAGCACTGTTACTTTGTTTAGTTTTTTATTTACCAGAGGAAGACTTTGTACTTGTGTATCTGCTCAAACACAGCGGTGCTTGTAAGTATATAGTCCTCAGGATTGGTAACAGTAGAGTTACCACAGACAATTCATTCTAGGCTGTCCATGGTGCTGTTCTGGTGTATACGGGCAGCGGTTGCTACTTTACTACTGTATATTATAAAAAAAAATATGTCAAATGACTAAGTCGTATATTATTTCGGCTTACAAACTTCGAATCCGGCCGACGTTGAAAATAAGATAAGTGACTGTCACCGCCCATGAGCACGCGCAACATTAGAGGCATTGCAGATGTACTGCCGGCCTTTTAAAAAAGGAATATGTTGGGTTATGATTAAATTACCAACTAACTCTCTGGTGACGGAAAACACCGATGACATTAAGATGATGGCGGAAGAATCAGGTTTTCTCTCACATTTTAATAGACTAAACTAAATGTTTAGGCTCATTTTGTATCATTTTTAAAATTTTGTATTGCTCATTAAAATTAACTGTATTTATCATTTAATAAATGGTGCAATAAAGTGTAAAATAAATAAATGAATGTGAACACATCGTTTGTTATGTGATTGTAAAGTACTGATGCCTCTGGCTACCCCTTTAAGAAATATTATTGTGAGCTTTATTTTTCTTTGTCGCTTTTAATTGAAGAGTGCTTTGAGTAAAACTTTATCTATCTCTTTATGATATCTTTTAACATAATATAGCATAATTTTATTTTTTTTTTATTTATAGGTGATCATATATTTCAATACTCGAGAAATCCTGAGTTAATTAAACATAAGAATTTAAAGCCAGTACCTATTTTTTTCCTACGATGAAATATATATATATATATATATATATATATATATATATATATATATATATATATATATATATATATATATATATATATATATACTTTACTACAGTTATTCTTTTTAAAAAATATTATGGTAATAATTTCGTAGCTAAAACATAAAATAGGTATTAGAAAACTATTATAAAAAAAAAAAAACAAAATCACTAAGCATGACCAACCTGACTGTGAAGAACTTACGATATCCATTGATATATAGCGGAGACAGTCAGTTCCCCTTTCTCCCGCAGCGCTCGTTCTATCAGCTCAGGGTACGTGTACGGAGGTTTCCGTGGCGCGGGCGGAGTGTCAGGAATCATCACCGTCGGCTCCTTCTTCGCGGCCGGTTCCTCATCAGGCACTTTAACGTTGACGAACTCGTCCAGACGAAAGTTCAGGAGCCAGGCCAGGCTCGCGCAGTCGTTATCGTCGTCGGCGGTCTTTGACCATTTTTTGCGACGCCATTTCGACCTGTCACATTTGCCCGGCATATTTATTTGACAAATGTGACGTATTTACAGGGCGGAGTCGCGATTGCACTGAGCGTGTTTGATTTTGGAACGCGAGCGCTTTGTGGCTTCGACGTACCAGCCAGCGCTATCTCTGGCTCCGACGGAGGTTGCCCATTGGAATAAAGCGTAACGAAAAAGTTTTGTTATGAAATAGTATGAGAGAAATAATGCAGCATTGTTTGACACAGTTAATATTGTAAACTTACAGCTATATATATATAAATATATTAAAGAAACATATTTATAAGTAAATCATACATTTCTTATACATAATACGTATAAATTAACACATGTTAGTGCGTTCCAACAAATAAAATATAGTTATGTCTAATAAAACCATTCATACATACAAATACATGCATTTTAAATTATTCCAATCTATCTTCTATTGTCTTTGGTTACTGAATTCTTTCTAATAAAAAAAAGAATTTATTAAATCAGTTTAAAACTGACGGTGTTATAAGATAACAAACATAAAAACGTAACCGAATTAAGAACCTTGTTCTTTTTGAAGTCGGTTATGAGTACATAACATATTTTTTTTTTACAACACAGGGGGCAAACCAGCATGCGGCTCACCTGATGGTAAGTGACTACCGCTGCCCATGATCACCCACAACACCAGAGACATTGCAGGTATGCTGCCGGCCTTTTAATACCTCGTTGGGCATAGCAACGTAGGGAGGGAGGCAGACATATTAATTTATCCTTTAGAAATTCGTCAATGGAATAATAGGCTTAATTAATTAGAAGCTATTTTAATATACTACCAGCGGTAAACTTTGTACAAAAGTCATTTGCTTGAGCACCTCTGTCTCATTCGTGTTTCTACGGTGAAGCAGTTTTGTTTGCATGCCTGTGTTTCGGTTTGAAGGGTGAGATTTGGCGTGAATTTACAGGGTACAGAGGAATAACACCTGAGTCCTCAGGAATGGCAACGCATGGGGGGTATTATGGGCGAAACAGTATTTATTCTCCATTATGTCCATAGTACTACTTAAGTCTATAGGCGACGGTTACCACTTTCCATCAGGTGGGTCGTTAGCTTGTTTGTCATTCTAAGTTACATAAAAAAACACATACTTAATTTTTGTTTTTATGTAAATTTTTAGTTTACTATAATTTTTTATTGACATAAGATACAGGTAGGAGCTGTGTATTTATATTTTTAAAGTTACTTGTTTCAATTGTTTTTATATTGGGATTTATAACGGCGTGGTAAATAACCTGGTGGGTTACTCTTGAAATAAATTCCGATCTATCGATATTGAAATTGTGAAATTTCGCACTCTCGAATTGCAGTATTAGTGACATAATAGTTCTATATTGTTCTGATAGATGCATATTAGTGCAACTTGTCAATGAAAACTATTGTAAACGGATCCCAGTTATAACCTAATTCCAGTGCAGTATAAAATTGTCATTAACAATAGATTGGATTGATATTAGATTTAAGAGAAGACCAGCTGATATTTTGTAGAGAGTAAAAAGGGATTGTTAGTAATGAGGAGGTTAGTCCTCATTGGTAATAATATACTTTACCAGGTCGACCTCCACGCGTTCCTTCTTGGAAACCACTGTAGTTAATTCATATGGAATTCGTCAAGATGAACTTACTGACCTGCTTTCATCGTCACCTATCATCTCTCACTGGTGCCTTGTCAGCGTATATCGATACATAGACGGATTTATCATTTATTGTCGTTTAATAATATTGCATCAAGTAAAAAGAGTGATTCAAATCCAGTAAATATTAAATTTATTCAAGTGATACAAACAGCATGGCATGTATCATTGCACATATCTCTTCCAGACAACCTTTGGGTAGAGGACATTGAGAAAAAGACAAAGTATTACGGTGGTCTAACTATTATATAAATATTATATTGTACAAACATATATATTTACATATATATATAATATATACATAACATAATATATTAACAACACATACAACAGAAAAAAAAAATACGAAGGAAAACGAAGAGAGAACACAGGAAAATAGTACTAAAGTGAGAGGTAATAGGATTTAACAGAGGTTTTGAAGCTAGTAAGAGTTTGAGCGCACCAAATAGAGGTAGGTAGTGAGTTCCATAGACGAACTGCCTGAACAGTAAAGGATCTAGAATAAAAAAGAAGAATGAGTAAATTTGAGTCTTATTGACACTGCGTAAAGTATGATCACCTTACTGAGAAACAAGATTTATCATTTCCATCGTCGTTTAATAAAAAAAAAAATTGTATTGCAGAATTTTGGGTACTTTTTTACAAATTTACGAATTCGTTTGTGTTAAAGGATTCGTTGTGGGGCGTTTTTTGATATTAGATATTTCTAAGTGTATTATAATTATAGATGTTAACACTCTTATCCTTATAAAAAATATATCTATCCACTACGATTCTTCTGAATCGACGCAGAGAGAGACTTTTGTACAAAAGTCGATTGCTTGGATACCTCTGTCCCATTCGTGTTTCTATCGTGAAGCAGTTGTGTTTGCATGGCTGTTTCGGTTTGAAGGGTGGAATATGGCGTGAATTTACATGGTACAGAGGAATAACATCTGAGTCCTCTGGAATGGCAAAGCATGTGAGGTATTATGGGCGAAACAATATATTCTGTTATGTCCATGGTACTGCTCATGTCTATAGGCGACGGTTACCACTTTCCATCATGTGGGCCGTCGGCTTGTTTGTCATTCTAAGTTGTATAAAAAAAAAGAACAAAATGAAGCGCGGTGTGTTTTCCTAAAATAATTGTTTTCTGATTCAGCGAATATTTGCTTAGCACTCTTGTTTCAATTTAAACGTGTTCCGGGTTCTGTTCGACATTTATCCAGTTCAGACATTTATCTATATTTCAAATATAAACACGAACATTCTAGAATTTTAATACTAAAAACTTAGAATGGCAAACAAGCTGACGGCCCACCTGATGGAAAGTGGTAACCATCGCCTATAGACATGAGCAGTACCATGGACATAACAGAGTATACTGTTTGGCCCATGATACCCCCCATGCGTTGCCATTTCTGAGGACTCAGATGTTATTTCTCTGTACCCTGTAAATTCATGCCAATTTTCCTTTGTTCTGTATTTGTTTCTACCTACACGTATGTATGTATATATATATATATATATATATATATATATATATATATATATATATATATATATATATAATATGTGTCGGTATTCTCATACTATTTTCATAACGAGAATCGCTGATACGCAACGAAACGAGCAAATTGTGAAAATAATTGAATTTTAAATGTAAACGCACGACATGAAAAAAAGCGGGTATGTGATAAATGTGATAAATAATTCAATACCGAGCAGTTACATTGACCGTCGGCTTTGTTATAACAACACTAAAAGGAACGAATTTCACAGAACAAAATATAATAACATTATTTTTTTTAATTATAATTACTTTTGTGTGTTAGTTGCGTAGCATGAATAAAAAAAATGGTTCAACCTTCGGCTTTGTTTGCGTTAATTAAGATAAAAGTGCTTTTTAACAGATTAAATTTAAATGATAACTCCACCCCTGCTATCGGTATACGCTGAACGGTATACCAGTGATAGATAATAGGTGAGGATGAAAGCAGGTCAGTTAACAGATCGTGACTTCATAGGTGCTCTGAGTCATTGCTTAGGACTGCCTATCGATCGTCCCTCGAATTGAGGACCAGTAGACGGCGAAAATCACCAGTTCGAAGGCCGACTTCTTACTCATTTTCGGCTGTCTATCCATCTTCTTCAGCTTTTTTATACAACTCAGAAGCAAACAAGCTGACGGCCCACCTGATGGAAAGTGGTAACCGTCGCCTATAGACATGAGCAGTACCATAGACAGCTCCTCTAATATCGCCCTTAAATTACTAATTAACACACCATGTATCCACTATTAATAATATCCCGTCATCCGTACACAATAGCGAGGATGAATTACCTTAAATAATAAACCGCAAATTAAAAAAAACTACGATGGTTTTCAGGACGAATCTCGTGAAGGTCAGCCTGATAGGAATATTGCCAGCAATAGGACTGTAAGATCCCATTACTAACAATATCTAAATTGCTAGCAATATATTCTATAAGGTCAACCTCCACGTAGTCCCTGGAAACCATCGCGCTGAATTCCAGATGTATTCATCACGATGGGCTAACTGACCTGCTTTTTCATTCTCATCTATCATCCTTCACTGGTGTCTCGCCAGCGTTATTATTTTGCGAAAAAAAAACTGAAAATAAACTTTTTAATGAAAGCAACATTTGTTTAATAGTTTAGAATCAGCGATTTCTTCATCGATGTATAAAAACTAAATTTAAATTAAGAATCTTCTTTAAATGTTTCAAAAATTGAATATGGAAGGATGGAATTAAATGGGAGACAGGCTTAACAGATGTGTATGTGTGTGTGTGTGTGCAATTGAATTCAAATATTATTAAGCGCAAATCGTTTCCGCTGCAATTAAATCCAAAAACTCAAAAGCCACATTGAGAGAGCTACAATCATTGACAAAACAAAATACACGACACGGACGGAATCCGATTTTAATTCGATTACGAGTATCACATTGAATCGTTGGAATTGAATCGATTTCTAAAAGTGTTCAGATTTAATTGCAATCGCTTCCCGTTCGTGTATTCGAATCCAATTATTTAGCATTTACTATTCAATGTCCGCAATACGTTATATTTGGTGCTTCGTTTAAATTCCATATCTCCAATAGATATGGAATTTATGTTAAATTCTATTAGTAAAATTCAAAAGCGTGGCAACTAAAGCCAAAACTCTTTAGGGGAAAGCCTATGTTCACCAGTTGACAGTTGGCTGATTTATAATATAAAAATGTATCGCTGATTATGTTGCTAAGCGCAAATCTCGAGAACAGCTGAACCGATTTCGCTAATTCTTTTTTTAGAGTATTCCTTGAAGTATGAGGATGGTTCTTACGGTGAGAAAATTAAAAAAAAATGCCTAAAAAAGTCTAAAAACAACACTTTTCTATACTCCCATGAAAAGATTCATAATAATAC